TGTATTTACAAGTGTATGGATAATTAGCTCTTTCTTAAACTTTATCTTAGGTCTACTTTACAACTGAAGATGTGTATTGTATTTATTCACTTAAAACTGAAAAATCATGACCATATAAACAGCATCTGTAATGAAAGCATTTTCTAAATTAAAAAAAAATATTATTACAAATCACTTTAATATGTGGTTTAAAAGAAGACAGTTGGGTATGGGTATGGTACCCCTGTAAATCCTAACACTGTAGAAACTGAGAAGGAAAATCATGAGTTCAAGGACAGCCCAGCAACATAGCAAAAATCTATCTCACAAAAAAAAAAAAAAAAAAAGGAATTTAAAAAATCAATTAAAAAGATATATCTTCTGTCTGCTTTCAATTTTTTTGAACAGCCATTTGTCAGACAGTCTCTGGAAAAACTCCCCATGCACCAACATTCATAAAAGTATCAGTTTTTAAAAAAGAAAAATTAGTATTTTCGTGAAAATAGTTTTCTTCTCACAGACACCCTGAAAAATTGTCAAAGATTGTTATGAGTACTTGGACAAACATTGTAAGAATAAACTAAATTCATATTTAACAAGTGTAAATCTTATTCAATTAAGTATAAATATAAAGCACAAATATAAAAAAATCACACATAAATAAAATAAACAAAACATATACTTGTTTAAGCCACACATACCATGTCTGAGGAAAAAGTAAAAGGAAGTTACTTAAGCATCCTTTAATTGCTTTTGTAGGGTTTTACTTTTTTTTTAAGGTGAACTAGTGTCTGAACTCAGCCTTCATTCTCTTCTAGGCAAGCACTCTACTCTTGAGGCAAAATGAAACACAATGAGGCAAACTATGAAACACAATGCTATAGTTTAGTTTATTAACATAGGTACTTGTTTTCAATACCTTCAAAACAATTTATAATTTAAATGCTTAATATACTGTTTAATTATTTTAACTTTTAATATTTTTAAAAGCCTTCAAAATTTCTGTGTACCAGGAAAAATCTTCCATCAGGGCAGTAGAAAGACAGTTCAAAGTCAACCCCAGGCAAAAATGCAAGATCCTACCTGAAAAATAACTAAACAAAAAAAGGTCGGTGGGGATTTGTCGAAAGTATAGAGTGTTGTGCCTAGAAAACCCAGACCAAGTTCAAACTCCAGTATGAAAAATGAATAAGAAAAAAAAATTTTTTTCTACCTCGTCCTGATTTAAATGCCACTTTAATCGAGGTTCGTGTCATATGCCTATAATGTCACCACTTTGGAGACAAGGGAGATATCATGTATAGCCTGGCTACAGTGATACCCTATCTCAAAAAAAAAAAAAAAAAACCTGCCAGGACACTAGTGGTTCACGCCTATAATTCTAGCTACTTGACAAGGGTGAGACTGACAGGCTCTATATCAAGATCCGTTCTAGCAAAAGTCAGCACATCTAACCAATGCCTGGACAAAGTGGCATGTACTTTGATTCCAGCCACCCCAAGCAGAAAAGGTCTGCAAGACCTATCTTGATGAAAAAGCGGGCCTATAGCACAGGCCTGTCATCACAGTGGATGAATGGGTAGCATAAAATAAAAGAGGAGTGAAGTCTAGGCTAACCTGGGCAAAAAGTAGAGAACCTATCTCCAAAAAAACCAAAGAAGAAAGGGTTAGGATGTGACTCTATGGTAGAATAAACACCTGACAAGAAAGAAGCCTTGAGTCCAAACCCCAGTACCAAAATAATAATAACCATCACTACCACAACAGTAATTCTGGCTAGATTTGAATTGGCTGCCAACAGTCCTGTCAGTTGAAGTAAAGAGCAGTGATGAATAAAAGAGAAAGTTATTGATCTCCCTGTTTTGACTGGGTGCTTTCACAAATACATGTGTACACATTAATATTTTTACTCAATTTCCAAAAAGTTTCTGGTTGGCTACTTAAGTTTCAGTTGGAGATGTATTAAACTCTGTAAACTTCTAATTCTACTAGAATTAACAAAGCAGAGTAATAACAATTCTCTACAATAAGATTTTTTAACTGAGGGAAGAACACAAAAATATAACAAATTAATCGTAAAGATATTTACATTACTCTGTGTGACAGAAGAATGAGTCTGAAGAAACTGTAGACAGAAGAAAAGAAAAAAAAAATTAAATAGGCAAGAAGCAGGAGCTATTAAAAACTCTAGAACAAAAATTTTCCGAACTATTACTAAGGTATCTACTATGTATAAGTCAGCCTTCTGAATATGAAGAGATGTTCAGTTAATGAACACCAGTAAACTGATGAAAATGTGAGCATGAAAAGGACAGTAAGGATAAGAAGGAGACTGAGAAAACACAATATTAAAGAGAACATGTGGTTACCTGCCTAATATCCCAGCACTAGGAGGCTAAAGCAGAGCATGCAAAGTTCAAAACCAGCCTGACCCA